GCACTTACACCACTAAGCTATCTCTCCAGCCCTGGGATAGTACTTATTAACTCTACATTCTGTTGTTTACTTAAGCTGTTGAACAAGTAATTTTTCTTCCCATGTTCAAGTCTTTCTAAAAATTTTCTTTGGTGTTCAGCAGTTTCATTATGTCAAGCTTTATTTCTTATCTATCCTTAGGATGTTAGGCATCTGAAGTCTATAGATCACTGTCTTCAATTTTGGAACAAATCCTCAATCATTAGTTATTCCAACTTATCTCCAGTTCACTAATACTTTTCATCTGTGTCTTATTGCTCTTACATCTGTTGCTTAATGGTGTATATTTCTGAAAGTTTTACTTCAGTTTTTCTCTAATCTGCAACGATATCTTTTTTTCTCATTTGCTATTCTTATATGTTCGAGCCAGGGCTGGAGATGTAGCTCAGCAGCACATGCCTGCCTGGCAAGTGCAAGGTCCTAAGTTCAGTTCCTGGTACTAAATCATTCAATCAGTCAGTCAATCAATCAAACTTATATGTTCAACCCCATCATTTATCTCCATTAAAAAGTACACAGAAGGGTCTCCTCCCAGGCGTCCAGTGCCTTGAAGGTAGAGTCTTTATGGTGTTCTTGCTGCTCTTCTTTGTCTGTTCTTCCATCTAAGTACTAACGAGGCTGACCCTGTTTAGTTACGAGATTGGGTGCATTCAGAGTGGTATGGCCATAGACCTCTCTGCCTATTCTTTTTTAAAAATGTATTTGGTTGCTGCAGGATCTCACTACGTAGCTCAGATGCACAGTGATTCTCCTGCTTTCAGCCTCCCCAGTGCTGGGATTACAGGCGTGCAACACCATGCCCCAGACTGTGGCTGGCTCAGCTCGCCCTGGCGGTGGGGCTGGCAGGGCATGTGGTGCCTGGGATGGAACCTCGGTCCCTGAGCTTGCCTAAGCTTGCCTAAGCAGGTGCTTTAGTCTGCTGAGCTATCTCACCGGCCCTTGTCTGCCTGTTCTTATGAGTTTTTCCTTCAGTGCCCTTTTTTTCCTTTTCTTTCTTGTTTTATTTTCTTTTTTGTGTGTGTGGTGGTAAGGGATTTAACCCAGAGTTTTTTGCATTGAACTCTATCCCCAGCTCTTTTTAGTTATTTTGAGACAGGGTTTTTCTGTATTGCCCAGGCTGGGGTTACATGTGGAACCCTCCTGCCTTAGCCTCCGGGGGTGTTGGAAGTATAAATGTGCACCACCATGTCTATTTGTGGGGATTTCTCAGGTCTGGTGTATAAATATTTCTTCTAGACTAAATTTGTGCATGTTTCTGCCAGGTATGTTGAACAATTCTTAGCCTAAAACCATTTTAAATGAAATTCATCTACTGAATTCACAAAACCTTACAGGTGGGAACTTCAGCTGTGAGTTCAGGTGAGGCCATCAGCTGTCTGGGAGGCAGGTCCGCTCATCACATGCATCGCCCGGTCTTAGACTTGGAACCAGAAGCCGAGGTTTGCTGGACTTGGGCAGATGCTTTGGGGCCAAAAGCAGATGCCATGCTCGACTCAGTGCCGTGGGTACTGCTGTTCTAGAAGGGGGTGCTTGTCCCTTATTGTCTCCTCAGCACCCGAATGCCTGTAAGGAGGTACCCTAAGCTGGTGCACTCCTGTAATCCCAGCTACATATCACAAGTTCAAGGCCAGCTGGGGATCTGGGAATGATGGGATATACCTATAATCCCAGCACTTGAGAGGCTGGGGCAGGAGGCTCCAGCCTTAAATAATAGCAAAACCCTGTCTCAAAACAACACCTGGAGATATAGCGCAGTGCTCCTTGGGTTCAAAACCCAGTACAGCCATCAGTCCAGTGTCCTTGCAGCATTTTTAGTACTTCTCAGTGGGAGAGTTGGTCCAAATTTGCAACTTAGCACAGTTTTACAAATGGAAGTTGGCTTTTGTAAAATCTTTTTCTTTTTCTTTTTTTTTTTTTTTTTATTTTAGGGAAGGGTCTACAAGGTGTTCAAGGTCTCACTACTAGATTGGACTTGTAGTGATCTGCCTGTTTACAGCCTTCTAAGAGCTGGGATTACAGGCATGCCCACCATGCCCAGTCTCAGTTGCCACTCCAGGGTTGGGGCCAGAACAGCAGGCCTGGGGACTGAACCTCCGGCCCCTGTGCCTGCTTGCAGGCGCTTTAATCCACTGAGCTATTTGGCTGGCCCACATTTATCTTTTTAAAGGTGAAGTGTATTTGGTAAGCAGCATGTTGATAGATTTTGAGTGTGCTTAGATGTGAAGAACTTGAAACCTGCTCAGTGTATGTGTATGACATACATGCATATCCACTTACTGGACAAGAAATGTGCTTCATGAAGTTCACATCACGTAGGTGACAGCTAGGCTGAGGTGACAGCATCACACTGAGCCCAGGCAGCTCCCTCAGGGCACCCACGAGCCCTCCTTGCTTGTGGCAGGCACTGTGTGCAGGCAGGGTGAGAGTCCACCCAGCTCTGAAGTCGGGCCCGGTGCAGTGCAGCCCTGCAGTGTGCCCGGTTGCTACGGGGCAGATGTGTGAGTTAATCTTAAGTAATGACATTCAGGCCTCAGAGGTGGCCAGAGCCCTGGCTTCTGCTCTAGGCTCACCTTTCCTGCAGGGTGCTTGTCTTGAGAGTGCGGCTGAGGCTGAGCTGCTCCAAAGAGAGAGAAGCCAGCTCCCATGCTGGGGCCAGGGTGGCAGGATCAGCCGTGACTCACCTGCCTTTGTTCTTTTAGTGATGTGCTAAATCTGTAAAGATTATTTTCCAAAGAAATAAAAAATAATCATTATTTTTTCAAATGTTAAATATTTGACATAGCATCTTAGCCAGCTTCCCCCCCCCTTATTTATTTATTTATTTATTTATTTATTTGGTACAGGGTCTCACTGTGCAGCGTGTCTCAGCCTCCCCAGTGCTATGATTACAGGTATATGACACCACGCCCTGTCTTGGTGCTGGCCCCTCATGGGCATGCAGTACTGGGGTTTGAGCTTGGGACCTTGTGTTTGCCAGGCAGGCACTTAGACTGCTAAGCTATCTCTCCAGCAACCCCCTTAGCCAGTTTTAAGTATGTTATTGCCTATCTTTGGAGAAACACTAAATCCTTTGCCCATTTTTTACAGTTACTTTTAACATTGTTTTTATTCTTTTTAAAGAGAATAAAAAAACAGTAAAAATAAATTAGAAACCGCAGAATTTCACTAAACAAAATTACACGAATTCAACAATGGTTGTTCTATTGCACATTGTCTTCAAATTAGTTGCTCAACAGATCACCAGATATAAGCATGCAAAATTAATTTAAAAATTAAAAAGGAGGGGGCCAGGGAGATGGTTCAGTAGAATAAGTGCTTGCCTGGCAAGCGCAAGGATCCGAGTTCAATCCCCGGTTCTGAAAAAAAAAAAAAAAGAATTAAAAAGGAGAGAGAAAAAGATTAAGCATTAACTGCTGTTTCAATAGACCAGCAGAAATCAACAGTACACTTATCCAAGCTATCTTGTGTATATACATATATATTTTTTCCTTCTTTTCTCCTTTCCCTCATCCCACTTGTTCCTTTCCTTTGAGCAGTTTCTTTCCCTTTTACAGTATTCTTGTGCTTTTCAGATTTTATTTACTCTTTCAGGTTCTTACACTAGGGAGACAATACAATGTTTACATATGTGGGTCTGATTTATTTCACTTGTGAGCATGGTCTGTCTCCCTTTGCCCATTTCTAATAAGATCTGACTGGGGGTGGTGCACACACCTATAATCTTAGCACATGGAGCCTGAGGCAGGAGGACTGCTGCAAGTTTGAGGCCAGCTTGGACTGTACTGAGTTTAAAGCCAGCCTGCACTACATAGCTAGACCCTGCCTAAAAAAAAAAAAAAAAAAAATCAAAATCATTCAGGTATGTATGTGTGTTGACTAAAGTTTATATATTCTGGATATCAACAGTGTAACAAGTGTATTTGAAAATATTTTCCTCCATATCTACTGTTAAAGAGTCTTTTGAAGCACAAACATTTTAAATTTTCATGAAGTCCCATTTACTTTTTTCCTTTGCTACCTGTGATTCCGATGTCTTAACCAAAGAGTTATAGCCAAATCTAGTATCCATAAGGCCTCCCCCCACCATTTTCTTCTAAGATTTTATAGTTTTAGCTATATTTACATATTGGACTCATTTTGAATTAATTTTGTATATGATGTTAGATGAGAGGCCAGCTTTCTTCTTTTGGGCATGGATATCCAGTTTCCCCAGCACCGTTTGTTGAAAATATTACACTGTCCCCTACTGAATAGTCTGAGCATTTTTTGCTATAGATCAAAGATCATTCAACCATGTCTGAATTGGTATTTCTTTGAGAGTTTACTTCTAGACTGATAACGTATTGACAGTTAGCTAACACTGGGTCCCTCGAGCACATGGCTGTCCCCGCGCTTCCAGTCATTATTCTAGCATTTGGGCAGCTCCTTTTCTTTCCTTTTCTAAGGTGGACTGAATCAGATGCTTTTTCTCAACTCTTTGGGAGTAAAAATAGTCTTGCCATGTCTAACTGAATGTAGAGTGGTTAGCAGTGAGCAGCTATGGGTATTCCAACTTGAAAGTGAACTGGGGTGCAGTTCAGTGGTGCCTCTTGTGCTCAGCATGCATAAGGCCATGGGTTCTATCCTCAGTACCACAAACAATAAAGAATTAGATTTTTCTTTTCTAGTCCTGTCACTCTTCCCATTCTTCACAACATGGAGCCCCTTAACCACTTAACAGTTTACTCCGGGCTTCCCTCAGGCAGTGCGTTTATTTCCATACTGACTACGCCATGCGTCACTCTGGCAAGTGTCATTTCAGTTGGTTGATTCTTGTACTGAGTAAGTGCGATGCAATTGTTGTTTTTGTATTTCCTGTTATAGAAGTTAACAAAACTCTGCAGCTTTTGGTGGTCCTGTCTGGTAATTGGCTAATGCATCTCATTCTCTGTAACCCACAGCTTTGTCTGGTTTGTTGACAGGTTGTGAGATTTTCCTCTCATCCCAGCTGTGTGGATCGTGCCACACGCCGCCCAAACAACAACGGCTCTTGTGTGCATTCTCCAGTGTTTCTTTTGTCACAGAGTCTGGCAGAGCCGCAGCTCTTCCAGCGTCAGCCCTGAGCTGAGTGAGGAACGTGCAGCAGACATGGTGAAGATGACCAAGTCCAAAACTTTCCAAGCCTATCTACCGAACTGTCACCGAACGTATAGCTGTATCCACTGCAGAGCCCACCTGGCCAATCACGACGAGCTGATCTCTAAGGCAAGTGGCTCGCGTGCTGGAGCTGGCAAGATGCCCTTCACGCAGCAATCGTTTGCCTTGTGATTCCCGCTGAGTAGATAGAGGTTTGATCATCACAGGCCTCCTGAAAGCTTTATGTGTCCATGGGGCTAGGCTCGGTCTTGGTGATTTTGGCATGAGTGTCCCAAGGATAGTAAATGAAGACTCCTGTAAATCATGAAGAACAAGATAAGTCCATGATTTGTCAAAGCGGAGTCAGTTAGTATTGTAACTTGAAAGTGAACTAGGGTGCAGTTCAGTGGTGCAGCATGTGCTTAGCGTGCGCAGGGCCATGGGTCCAGAGAACATCCAAGAAGCACAAGAAATCTCAAAAGGCTGTAGGAATAGTTTAATAAGAATTGAGAGGCTGAGGGCTGTAGCTCAGTGGCACAGCACCTGCCTGGCAAGCACAAATCTCTGAGTTTGATCTCTAG